TTTACATAAAAGATGTTTACATTTAGTCCACAAGAAAAAAAAAAAAATAGCAGATATTATTAAAATAACCCCATTCAAAAGTTTGTGAACCCATGGTTCTTAACACTGTGTTGTTACCTGGATGATCCACAGCTGTTTTTTTTTGTTTTGTGATGGTTGTTCATGAGTCCCTTGTTTGTTCTAAACAGTTAAACTGAGCACTGTTCTTCAGAAAAATCCTGTGTCCTGCAGATTCTTCAGTTTTCCAGCATCTTCTGCATATTTGAACCCTTTCCAGCAGTGACTGTAGGATTTTGAGATCCATCTTTTCACACCGAGGACAATTGAGGGTCTCAAACACAACTATTACAGAAGGTTCAAACATTCACTGATGCTCCAGAAGGAAACACGATGCATTAAGAGCCGAATTGAACTTTTGAAAACTTTTGAACAGAATGAAAATGTCCAAATTTTTCTTATTTTGTTGAAATATTTTCTTTTTTTTTTTTTCATTTAGTACTGCCCTTCGGAAGCAACAGAAGATACTTACATGTTTCCCGGACGACAAATTAAGTACAATTTACCCTGATCTTCAAATTCTAAAAGTTTCCTTCTGGAGCATCAGTGAATGTTTGAACCTTCTGTAATAGTTGTGTTTGAGTCCCTCAATTGTCCTCGGTGTGAAAAGATGGATCTCAAAATCCTACAGTCACTGCTGGAAAGGGTTCAAATATGCAGAAGATGCTTGAAAACTGAAGAATCTGCAGGAGCTGGAGGATTTTTCTGAAGAACAGTGCTTAGTTTAACTGTTCAGAACAAACAAGAGACAGGTGTGGATCATCCAGGTAACCACACACAGTATAAAGAATCAAACTTTTGAATGGGGTTATTTGAATAATTTCAGCTATTTTGTTCTTGTGGACTAAATGTAAACATCTTATGTAAAATATCTTACTCAGGACAGTACTAAATAAAAAAAATAACATGCATTTTGTATGATCTCTCTTGTTTTGTAAAAATTATTCAGAGATTCTGCAAGGGCTTCCCAAGCTTTCGCATGCCACTGTATGTATAGTTAGGGACTGACATTGTAAAACAGAGCCTCCTTGGAGTGTTTGCCATATTTCTTGTACAGAGTTTCCTGGAAAATGCCCATTCTTGCAGACATCAGCAAGGCGAACGTCAGCATGGCGATACCTGAGCCACAACAGCATTAATGCAATCAAATATGATGCAGAATGATTTAACTAACCACATATACGTACATGTCTTCAGAACTGCATGTTAACACACTATTGATACTAATCTAGCAGTTTGCAATAAGTACACTATTGTTCAAAAGTTTGAGGTTGGTATGAATTTTTATATTTCTGAGTCTCTTATGCTCATCAAACCTGCCTTTATTTGATCAAATACAGTAAAATCTGTAGTAATATTTCATACTATTACTATTTCAAATTTAAAATGTAATTTATTCCTGTGATTTCAAAGCTGTATTTTCAGCATCATTACTCCAGTCTTCAGTGTCACATGATCCTTCAGAAATCTTTCTAATATGCTGCCGAGGAAACTTTTTTTTATTATTATCAATGTTGAAAACAGTTGTGCTGCTTCATATCTGAGCGTAAACCGTGATGTTTTGTTTTTTAAGGATTCTTTGATAAATAGAAAGTTCAAAAGAACACCATTTATTTAAAATATAAATCTTTTGTAACATTATAAATGTCTTTAATGCATCCCTGCTGAATAAAAGTATTAATTTCCTTAAAAAATACTGACCTCAAACTTTTGAACATACTACTACTAATAATAATACAGCATGCAACTATTATAAATGCTTATTGTTATTAATGCAATTTCACATACTAATTTTTAAATGGTAGTATATTCTATACAGTATGCAGCAAATATTGCCTGAGTGTGAATGTGGAGAATATTACCCAGAAGCCAATGCACGAAGGCATAAAAAACATCTTCCTCTGTGGCCCCTTTCTCAACATTCTACATAAAGATCAAACCTGGCGTATTAGGTGCAGATAAATGTGAAATAAAGCATTGAAATGCAAGTACGTTATGTCTGTTAATACAAAACAACTACTAAACTCACCACTTGTTTGGCCGACATAATAGTGCAGATGAAAATGCCCACAGACACCAGCACGATGGAGAGATATTTACTCGCCGAATATCTGCAAGCAATAACGTGACTGAATAATATGCAAAATAAAGCAATGATTTTGTGCATGATCTTCAGCCTACCTTTTCTTCAAGATGATAATACCGAGGATCATGTTCGCTATTAAAGATCCCTGTGATCAAAATGAGAAGATACAGAGATCGATAAGGCACAGATTTGAAAGCAATGAATGAATGCAATAAATGATACTCACTGATCTGAAGATCATGTGCAGAGGCATGGCGATGTTAAAGTTCAGGGCGTAGTTATTGATCACGCTGACGGTAAAGAACATGGTCACCATGATCACATAGTTACTGCAAAAAGGAAATGCATCAAAAGTCATGAAATCCTCATAAGTCGGAGGGAAAACAATACTGAATTGAAATAATGTAATGCATATATATGAGCAATGCTTAGAAGATTACTTACAAAGTTACTGATTTCAAATTACATGGCAAAAATTGTATTCTGACTATTGTTTGATTACTTTTGACATAACTGGTGCATCCCATTGAATTTAATAGAATAACCTTGTACCACCTTTACATATCATATCCAGTTGTTAAAGCAAATTATTAATTAAATAAAATTTTTACAATTAAAAATAAAACACTTGACCATTAAATGACATCAGAGAACTGCAAACATGCAAATATTTTGTTAAATTACTGACTTAATAATTAAGTTATTATTTAATTGAATTAGGTAATTATTAATTCAACTGAGATACAACTATTTGAAAATCTGGAATCTGAGGGTGCAAAAAAATCTAAATATTGAGAAAATCATCTTTAAAGTTGTCTAAATGAAGATCTTAGCAATGCATATTACTAATCAAAACCTAAGTTTTGATATATTTACGGTAGGAAATTTACTAAATATCTTCATGGAACATGATCTTTACTTAATATCCTAATGATTTTTCACATAAAAGAAAAACTATAATTGTGACCCATACAATGTATTGTTGGCTATTGCTACAAATATCCCCCAGCGACTTAACACTGCTTTTGTGCTCCAGGCTCACATTTATTAATTCAAAGAAGTTCTGCAAACTATACATGTTAATTAAACATATAAATTGCAATGTTTTTAATACCAATTACTTTATTATTCATTCATTGCACAATAAACAATCTTGACCTCCAGTGTAAAGTCTGTCCTGACGCTGAAGCATTAATATCAGAGATCCGTCTAGATTTAGCACAAAGACTGTAACATAAGTCATCTCGTCGAGTTTCAAAACTGCACGACTATGTTAGGAATGGAATACTAGAGCAGTGCTTA